CCATAGGCTGTGAAGTACTTATTATTGACACAACAACTTCTCTCTTTCATGGCAGAAGTACTACTCAACACCATACTTACAAACTGATCTTAAAAATAGCTAAATGAGATGAAGAAACTTATCTTGAATAATGAAGGATTGGGGTTGGAAAGGAGGAGAGAGTGGAGAGCATGGGGGGTCTAAAGTCCTTTTGGCTTAGATTCTTTTAGTAACTAATTGATGTAATTCTCTGATATCATGTAAATGCTAAAAGTTCGATCGAATTAGAATATTCTATTCCATTCACTAAAGAGATTTATATACGAGGTTACCCAAAGTCGGAGAAAGTAAAAAGACAAAAAAGGACGAGACAACTAATATATTTACGGAAAATATAACTATACTAATAGAACAATAACACCTGTAGACATTTAATTTGAGCCAAGCAGCCAAAAGTTTTGCAAAAGACAACTACCACCTTTCTCTAGTCTGGCATGTAGGGTTAGAACCAGAGATGCAGGACGACTTACAGAAGCAAAATAAGTTACCACTTCTATATTGAGTTTTGAAGTGGATGCCACATAATTAATTAGCTATGTATTATGATGCTTACAAATTAAAATTACCAAGCTGGCTCTCTCAACAAGCTGACATTTACCGTTAACATTTCAAAACATGAAAACAGATTGTCCCTTCGGGAACATCCGATAAATCGGAAGGAACATGAACACACTAAATATTCCAAGAATTTGACTTCTCAAGCACAATTTAGTAAAGAAATAATGTTTTCGATAAGAAACCAACTTTCATAAAAGGAAATTAAATAATTATGCAGAGATGCGACATAGTTTCTCAAAAATAGGATGGTGTTACCTTGGATATCCTGATATCATTTACAGCCATTCTAAGAGAATCGTCGGATAGGATTAACCTTGATACAGCACCAGTGGTTAACCTAAAATATTCAAAATTAATAGAACTATTAGCGTGCAGCTAATCTATATCATTAACATATTAGAAACGGGAAACATAAGATTTATCTTTTAACTATTTATCTAAATTGTAATTCAACTGTTCCACCTGCATCAATTAATCGGACTACTTATGCTTAATGTCTCGTACATATCTATCACTTTGCTATTAATATTAACACTGTCACACTTTTATCTCTTTTTGAAATAGTGGAAACCAGGTTTATATCTTAACTACGGATCATCTTTTAATATCATCTATGTTGACAGCCAAAAATAGTGCCAAATTTTTGTAACTATTATGTGATTTATTCGCTCATGGAATGTCAATGAGAAAATATTCAATACATAAACAAGCTGACATTCCCATAAAATAAGGATTAATTGTTCTACAGTTGCTATTCCAATAAGTTAAGTCCTTTGGGTATGAAATGAATATAATTTTCATCGTTGGTCAAGTTGACATCTACCTTGTCAAACTCACAAATAACTCTCAATTAGTTTTAATATAATCCGAAGTATGTTAATAGAAAATGATGAACAACCATCAGAACCAGTAATCAAACTCAAAAGCTCTCTCAAAAACCAAATTTGGTCCACTTCCTTACTAGGCGAGGAGAACAAAAACAAATTTTGTAAGGGTGTGGAAATCTCTCCCTAGCATATGCGTTTTAAAAACCTTGAGGGAAAACCTAAAAGGAAAAGCTCAAAGAGGACAATATCTGCTAGCAGTGGGATTGAGCTATTACATCAAATCATAAGGCAAGACTTTGCCTCCAACAAGACACTTCGTAAGAAAAATATCCTCCAACACCTTCCGGAGGTCTAAACTCCTTTCCCTCATGCCCTTGATAAAATTATCATTCTTGTTCATTCCTATAAAAATCATAAACCTCGCAATGAACTCCCTTCCACTCATCTTCCTATCAACCACAAACGTCCATACATCAGCTCTCTCAGTTTCTTGATAAAATCCCAATCTCCTCACAGAATTGAACAACTCCCATTCTCTACATTCGACTGTGGATGCTTAGTTATGGTGGAAATAAAATAATAAGAAACAAAGGCCAACACATGAATGAATAGCAAACATACCCTATATACTTAGCTGTGTCTGATATAGAACCATCAAGTGTGTAAATTAGATCCAATAAAGCTTGCATGCCCTGCCAAACAGGTAATTTGGGTTATCACCTTCATATCCTTCTCTTATATCAAGAAAATCAAATTATAAACACACACCCATATGTACACAGAAATATAGACAGAAAGAGAATAGAGAGAAACCGGAAGAAATTTAGAATTGTTAGGACCAATTTGAGGGCCACATCCCGGTGGCCTGATAGTGGACTTCAGAGGGAGAATTTGGAGAAGCTCTGGAGGAGGCGAATAATCTTCAAGATCCACAGGGTTCCTGACTGAGCTCAATACAACAACGCATGGCATATATCATTCATCAGGAGAACCAACCTTACGGAAAATGAAATTAAAAAACAAACAAGCATGTACAATCCAGCCACCTTTTAGGGCCAATTGAGCGCGTAGGCGAGCTAAAGCACTCGCTCGATTCTTATGCTGTGATCGATCCTCGACAGCCTTGGAAATAAAGGGCCAAAGATTAACTTGAGAGCTAAGAAGCTGAAGTATATAATTGAACTTGATTATATTTATCAGACAAATATAAACCTGAGCAGTGATACCAGTGGGAATGTGCTTCAAACGGACAGCGGACTCGCGCTTGTTGCGGTGCTGACCGCCGGGACCTGAGGCCTTAAACGTGTCCATTTCGCACTGTCTCATCAGCTCTTCGTCGGACAAAATCAAATACTCTTTTCCTTTCCATACTGAATTTGCACTGCTAGAGCTGCAAGTGGAACGCAGTGAGTTGGAGAAGAAAGAGCCCTCGAATTGGTGAATTCGAAATGTACAGCCAATCCTTCCCCATCTACCGTTGCTTGCTATTGGAACAGGAATACTAAGAATCTTGGCGGATTTCCAGAGCATATTTGCGGTTGCCATTTTCGCAATTCAGAAAACGAATTTCTCCTATTGGGTTTTGTGTGGTTTTCAAAATTGGGTCGTTTTTAATCATGGTTATGGACAAGTTGTGGCTTGAAGTCATTGTTATGGAAAATCATGGCTTCCTGCTATGAGATATGCTGCTATGGACTCCCGATTTTGCCTGTTGCAGCTCCTGTGTGGGTTTTCGATCAAAATGAAAGAACTGCAGAATTTGGGCGAGAAACACCCTGATAACGGAAATTAGTACATAAATAGTTAGAAATCGGCCCCAACTCCCAAAGGTTGAAATTTATTGAGAGACAATAAACCTTAGAAAGCTTGAACAAACAAGATTTAGGATAAACCTTAGAAAGCTTGAACAAACAAGATTTAGGCACAATAGTTTTAGCTTTTTAGGTTTTGGAAATTAACACCGGTAAATATTTGAATTCTTAGTCACATTTTAAATGAATTTTAAGTTTTCAAAATAAGGTTATATAAATTTGTGTCTGGATCCATCTTTGAATTGAAAATATTTTAATTGTCTCGTAAAGAGCCTATTGGCAATGTCGGTCTCATGATGGCTTGTGTTCATGATATCATGTGGACAAACGGCACCCAAGAACGAGAGTTTGTGTGTGGTGCTCAAATTTAAAGGTTAAAAGCTACGGATTTTGGGACAACCTTTGTGCAGGATTACCCTCTTATTGGGTAAAGTGTTTTAGACTTCCTGAGCTCTCGACTCCTTTGTCAAAAAGTTTCCTCTTAACTCGTCAACAAAGCTAAAGGAATAATATTTAAGGACATTGAGACTAAAGACTTAAATTTGAATTTACCTAAATTGTTAAAAAACTTACACGTTAATGAATTGCTCCAAATTCTCCTTGTCCAAAGCTCAAACGTCTTTGTGGTTTTATGCAAGTTTGTTCCTTCAACTCCATGCTTCGTGAAAAAACTAACCTCAAAGGACCACCATAGGAGGTTGGAGGACATTACTTTCAGACATCGGAGGTAAGAATTCTGGTGTGTCATCTTAGTTCAAACAAAGAAAATGATGGTGTGGTCGATTAAACTAAATCGACCCTGTTAGGTTCAAAAATTTAACCCTCTTAATTGCTAGTTCTTATATAAAAAAAACACTAATGATTCTTGAAACGTGACTCACTAAAGGACCTAGTCAAAGAAATTTGACCTTGGAAAGAACTTGAATCAAGCCCTCGAACTCACTCGAACATGTAAATAGCCCCTTTATTATTAATTTTTTTTTGCTCATTGTAGGAATGGCTTGAAATGGACCTGATTGCTCGTGATTAATAGAAAACGAAGAGATTAGGCCAGGAATCATACTTAAATGACCTAAATGAACGTTTTACTTGGGAATAAGACCTACTTAAATGACCAATTAAAGCCTATACAGAGCAATTTAAGAAAATGTCCCACCTAATGACATCCATTATACACGAAAATTTGATTATAGCCTAATATCATGGAATAAAACATGTTTAAGGCATAGACGAATAACAGGGTAAAATGACCCCTACTATGTCCTTTTGATGTTTTATGGTCTAAATGAACCCAATTTACACGAGATCAATTTATAAAGGTTATGAATGAAAATGCACAGTTAAGACATAAACCAAAGTTATGGTGAAAAATGACAAAATTATCCTAATAAACAATTTAAGGAATGTTACACAACCTTGTCTGGCCTCCTAATTATGACATTTAAAATGGTTGATGTATGGAATTATGAGGTATATATATGATTATGACACTTTAAATGACTTATGTAACGGGTTCAAGCTGGGCTCTCACATCGATTGGAGAGGGGAACGATTGCTCCCATATCCAATCGAGGGGAATGAAACATTCCTTATAAGACAGTGGTTTTAAAACCGTGAAGACATTCCTTATAAGACTGATTTTAAAATCTTAAAGCAAAACGACCATATGTAACGAACTAAAGGTGGTGTGATGTTACATTGCGAGGTCCATATGTGATGGGCTAAAAAAAATACATATTATTGTTAAATTAAAAAAAAAAAAAAAATACGTGTATGTGTTTCGGTCACCCAAAAAAATGATCGATCCCATTTGGTTTGCAGCAAGGCACTGTGAAATCCAATCTGGATGCATGCCTAATCGCCATCCCCTCCGCTCCACGCCGATTCTCAACTCTCAACATTCCGATGTTTGCTGCAACGCTGGGAACCGTCTCAGCTCATTCCTTTCTCTCTCAGTTCGGCTCCATCGATGCTTCTCACGCTCATTCAAGCTCCGCCTCCACCTCCCTTGTAATCCACAGGCCCCTCTTTAAACAACCTTCCAACTTCCCTGCCGGAGCTTCCCTCTCTCAGTCGAGTTTCGGAGTTCTCGATACTTCACCTGCTTCGCCGGAATCAGTTCGACGCGCTCAGGTGAGTACATTGTCCATGTCTTTCATGAATTTTGTAGGTTCTTACGCTTAATGAACTGTTCTTATTCCCTTTTGTGTTCGTTCTTTGGTCTCTCCTGCTAAGTGTGCTATCCCGTTTCCGAATAGTTGAAGGAATTAGGCTACTTAGAGAGAATGAGAGGCAGAGAGGGGGGGAGAACGGGTCAGTGGTCAGCATATTGGAGCTGGGTGAGAAAACACATTAAAGAAAGGGAAATATTATACTAGACAACAGTGAAAGGAAAAATAGTACAAGAGAAGTGTTACATTACATCATCCCCTTCAGCTGAACGGGCTTTTAGGTGGACTATTACCTGATATGCATTTGGTAGAGACTTCATCATAATATCTTCTAGTATATTTGAGTCAATCTTCAAATAATGAGCTTAACTCATAATCATAGAATTAGGAGTTACATTACGTTCAATCCAACTATTCAAGATAATTACAAAAATTTATCCATACCAATAATGCAAAGAAACCCACACTCCTAAATGATCTCTAAGATGGAAAAGAACTCCCAACCAACTTCTAAATGCAATTTTTGATGTAAAAGAAAGATGCCTCACTCTTGAATGCAGTTTATGTAACGACTCGACTTTCCACACACGTATCGGCCAGAATTTCAGTTCACAATCCACTGAATGTTATTCATATCTCTCGCAAACTCTGTCTTCTGCAATAATTTCAATTTTTTTTTTTTTTTAAGTTTCAATCCATCTTCAGCAATGGTTTTTCCTCTCACAAGTGATATCATGGATTTTTTTGCATAGATTGATTGGGAGAGATGTGTGAGAGATGGAGAAGAAGAAAATCCAACATGATGGTAACAATAGAGTTTGAAGAGGAGAATTAAAATGTAATTTTCAACCTCATTGACACATGCAAAATCCTAGTTCTCTTCTTTTTCAAGTCGGAGGATATAAGGTTTTCCTTTGGGATTGAGAAAAGTATGTTATTTTTCTACTTTTAAGGGTTATAAAGTCATTTTACTTGTAGATGACAGCAGAATTTCAGTTTTTTTATTTTTATTTTTGAAGGATTGGGTAAAAAATCTTTATCTATTCTAAATAAGGTTATTTTTAATAACTCTCATATCAAAACCTCCCCACAGCCATTGTCCTCTGAATAATAACAATAACAATAAATGAACAAATAAACTAGCGAGTAGCAAGCAGCACAGATAAAATTTGTTGATATAAATGGGGATAGAGTAACGGGACCACATTCAGGCTTCGTTTGGTTGCAGGTGCATGTGAATGTGCAGCAAATAATTCAGAAAAAGAGGAACCTTTTTGTCAGATACAGCAACAGGGCTGGTAGGTTTTTTGGTCTCAGTAAGAATCCATCTGCTAGTGCAGCAGTGGTTACTGCAACGTCCTCAGCATCTGTGGGCGTTGGGGCTGCTCTGGAGGTGCAAGAAATACGGGAGAGATCCAACAAGTGGCAATGGAACCAGTACTCCATAAACTATTTCGTTTCTCATTATCAACCTTCTCAACAGCAACATCAATCAAGTGTAGATCCTCCTGTCGTCCTTTTAGTTCATGGATTTGGAGCTTCTATTCCTCATTGGCGCAGGTTCATATTTTTCTCTCCAACTTATTTACTTTTAAACATTAAATAGATGTTATATATTTCTCACATATCTGGCACTCAACATTAAAGGATTGCTTTAAGTAATGGCACCCAATTTAATCATTCTGAAGGGGACCATTTGCACATTGATAAAAGAAAAGAAAAAAGTGATTAAGGGGTTTGTCCCTAGTGGACCAAGTGGTCTAATTTTTGGGTTGGCAGATGAGTCAAGAACAGGTTGTTGGTGGTGATTGTGTTCCAGAACCTGATAGATTCTTTGAGCTAGATCAGAATGGGAATTCAATCCTTCGTTTTCGTTTCTAGGCAAGGAGGATGTGAGGTCCAATCCTTCAATCGTTAATTACTCAGAAAATGAGTCTTTTCTTTCTTTGTTGGCGACAAAGAATTTGGATGTTGAATTTGGAGCCTTTGTTGAATGAGGAGAGTGAGGCTTTTTAAATTTGTTGCTCGGACAGTAGTCTGAGTGAGGTTGTTGTGGCTAGTTGCTGGAAGTTCGTTGTTCAAATAAGCCTTTAAGAATAGTCAATGTTTCTTTTAAACAGCCGGTGTTGGGTACTTTTGGTCCTCCATCTATGGTGGTTGCGTTCCCTTCTTTGTCTATCGTAGAGGTGCAATAGGAGTGTCGAAGCGCTGAGGGTCTATATCATTCATTTATCAAGGTAAACTCTGTTGGGATGGTGAACCAGGTACGTTGTCCTTTTGTTCTTTATCCTTCCATGTTGAGATTGGGTGAAGGGAGGGGGTTATCTTGTTCTGGTGACGTGTTGTATCCTTTATCATTCCCTTTAGGCATGCCCTTTGGTGTGGTTAGTTGGGTTTTGCCCCCACCGCAATGTCTCGTGTTTGTTAACTCCGCTCCTATCCTTTTTCTGAAAGTGCCGTGTCTCACCTGATTTTGTCTTGTTTGGAGACCAAGTCTTCGCTTTTGCTCCTTCTCTTATGTCTTAGGTAGTGGGGCCAAGGGGGGTGGTCTTCCGTTTAGTGGTGGGCTGTGTGGGAGATCCTTTACTAATACCAACAGGAACCAGTACAACATTCCTCATGTGCATTGCCCAAAGTATTGATGGAGATGCATTCAAGAACCTGACCAAAAAGATTCGTTCCTTTTTTATTTTTATTTTTATATATATATACTAACATGCTAATCCCAAAATCACATTTGGCATGAAGAAGCGAGCATTTAGCAAATATTGCATGAAGTCAGCTCAAGTTTTCAAGCCAAAAGAGTTATCTAAGATGAATAAAGATGAAGAAGAAACGGCTTCCAGACTAAGCTTCTATCGTGAAAAACTCAATTGTTTGAAAGAATTGTTCAAAAGAAGGAAAGGGAAGAACTTCTTGCCCAAGCTACAACTACATAACTCCATATTTTCGAGAGAAACACCATCCAACATAAATGGAACCTTATAGAACAAATAAAAAAAATGAAGAAAAGAGAACTCACTTGTGAATTGGGTCTAGAGAAAGAGATAAAAGGAAGCCAGCAGATGGAATGTTGTGCATTCTATATGTTTTCTCTCTTGGTAACCCATGGATTGTTGAACTGAAACAAGAACGTGGGTAACCATTTCTGACTAAATTGACTAAATTAGTTATTGGTAATGTTAAATAATTAATTTAAATTTTGATTGTTGGATTGTGAATCATTGATTAACTAATACTTATTATCATCAAATTATAGTTAGCACTACTTTCAGATTCCAAATCTTTTTATGGTCTTTTCTTTTTCTCTCTTAATTTATTTAAAAGTTTTCTTTACACATTCTCACTTTTTTTTTTTTTTAATTAATAATTTCTGGAGTTATCCTTTTTCCTTAAGATTTTATTCTTACTCTCCCCATAGTCCAATAAACTCTGGCGATTTGTTGTGCTATACGAGTGAAAACCTTTCGTCCGTGTAGTGGATTGTCATTGGATCGCTTTATTCACAGAGAAGTCCAGTGATCTTCTGGCTCATACATCAAACAGTCAGCATGCCTTTATTCAGAGATTTGTTGTTCTTGACATGCATGTCCCAGGTCCTGATGTTTTATTTGGAGATTTCTTCAGGAATATTAGCGCATTGTCTCAATACTCAACTGTCTATGCCATCGACCTTCTTGGCTTTGGTGCATCTGATAAGCCTGCCGGCTTTGCATATACCATGGAAACATGGGCTGATGTATGTTTAAATGGAAGCTTCAATTTGGTATTTAGTTGTATTAGTTAATGACCAGTTATTGATCAACGGGAACTCGCTAATGTTGCCCCTTTCTTTGCTGCAGTTGATATTGGATTTTGTGAAAGACATCATTAAGAGACCAACTGTGCTAGTGGGTAACTCAGTGGGAAGCCTTGCTTGTGTGATTGCTGCTTCAGGTGCGTGAAGCCAACATTTACAAATACAAGTCTTTAGAAAGTACTCTCAATTTGTCAAGGTGATATAGATATGTTTTCCTATGAGATCAGATTCTAGTCGCAATCTAGTTCGAGGACTTGTGCTCTTAAACTGTGCTGGTGGCATGAACAATAAAGCAATTGTTGACGATTGGAGGATCAAACTGTTATTACCTTTGCTTTGGCTGGTCGATTTCTTATTGAATCAACGGAGAATTGCTTCAGCTCTGTTTGAGCGTGTCAAGAAGAGGTATTGGTCAACTCTTCTTTTTCATGTTTGCTAAATGGAGGATAAAATTAGAGAAGGTATAATTTTTCTCTGCAGAGATAGCTTGAGGAACATTTTGTCGTCCGTATATGGAAACAAGGAAAATGTGGATGAAGATCTGATAGATGTAGGCTTTCTTTCTTCCCAACTTACCTCTCTTCTTCCTCTGAGTAATTTTATTCTAATCTTGTTTGAACTGATAAATATAGATAATATTAGAACCAGCCAATGACGAAGGGGCACTTGATGCATTCGTTTCAATCGTAACGGGGCCACCAGGGCCGAGCCCAGTGCAACTAATGCCAAAAATTTCCGTGCCTGTTTTGATTTTATGGGGAGATGAAGATCCATTCACGCCACTTGATGGTCCTGTTGGGAAGTACTTCTCCAAGTTATCTATGGAAGCTCCAAATGTCAGTCTTTGTGTGTTGGAAGGGGTAGGACATTGCCCTCATGATGACAGGCCTGAATTAGTGCATGAAAAGCTCCTTCCATGGCTGGCTCAGCTTCATGCTTTGTAACAAGTTTTTCTGCATCCACAAGATCATAGGTGTATCTGTTTGTATAGCCAAATTACCAGCTTTTCTGCAGTCAAGTTGGTATATCATTCAAAATGTCAGTCATAGTTTGATATTATTTAATTGTAAAGGGAAAAATTCGCAATTCTTAGGTCAAACAATTGCCAATGATCATGTATTTTGTACCACATTTTCTCACTAAATAGACGATTGCCTGTAATATATATAGTACCTTTGTCTTTGCATGTTAGTATATGGGCGAATGTAATATGGTACCTTCGGCTCTGCATGGTTGTGTATGGGTAAATAGGTTTGTTTTATTTTGTTTGGAAAATTATAGAAAATAAGCGAAAACGTTCCATGAATTAAGTTTTTTTACACCTCGTTTGGAGTAGAAGAAAGGGAGTGAAGCGATGCCTTGCCCTTATTTATTTAGTGCTTGGTGAGTGTTTGGGCCTTAATAGATTTAACACTAACAACCCCTAATTTTTTTTTATTATAATGGTTAAATGGTAGGTTGAGTGATTATTTAGTGAACGGTCATTTAAATTCGTAGGAGATGAGTGTGTTAAATTCGTAGAAGATTAGTGTGTCAGATTGTTTTATAGTAATGCATGTCCTACGTTTGATCCTATGTCAAGAGTAACTATGGCTAGAAATATATCTTAACTCTTAACTCTATCTTGAATAAAAAAAAATATAAAAAGAAACTACTTTTTAATCACTTATGCATGGACATCATTGCAAAACATTAACTATATGGTAATCACTGCACATTTTATTGATTCCGAATTGAATTTCATAAAAAAATTCTTAATTTTTGCCAAGTTGCTAACCATGGGGAAGAGACTATTGACAAGATTACTGAGAGTTGTCCAATAAAACTATTAGGGAGATCAATCTTACCCCTTAACACCTTTGGTGTTTATTGGAACGAGGAATCGATAAGGTTTTCTCTATTACAGTTGATAATGCAAGTTGGAGAAATATCACACATGAGGTATTGTGCCTACATCATTAATTTGATTGTGAATGAAGAGCTTAAAGAAATGCATGACTCTATGTCTAATGTCCGCAATGCATGATGTATGTTAGATCATCGTGAGATTAACATTTAAATATTGGATTGACGAGAAAAAAATGGAATTTATGATGCCTTCAATTTGAAGCTTTACCTGTAATATTTATTTTGGTTGGTTGAATCACAAGTTTTATTGAGAATTTATTTATAGAATTTATAAAATAGGATGCTTTAAATTGTAATGGTTGATTTGTTGTTTTAATTGAGATAAAAGTATTTGCATCACAAGCATACTTTAATTGTAATTTAATTGTAATTTGAATCCATGGCTAAAATATTATTTATTTCCATTTGATTTCAATTTAGTTCTCCTTTCAAATATATGAATTTAGTTCATGAAGAAAAGACACAATGTGAAGGTTCTTTTTAAAAAAGAAAATATTATAAGAAGAATGCAAATACTACTAGAAAATATAAAAATTAAATTTCAATAGAATCAAACTAAAAGCATTAACCTAAATTAATTGTTTACAAAAAACATTAATTTGTCTAAATGGGTCGACCATTATAATTAGACCTTATATTTTGTACTTCAAAAAATTTAACACTGGAAGTGTCGTACCAATACACAACTTTACCAAAAAAATTTTTTTTTGGTAAACTTTTTAAACATTACTAAAGCTAAGTTAATAGAAATATTTATAGTTTAATCATATTTTTAAACCATGAGTTAAATAAGCTTAATGCAAAATTTTCAAAAAAGAATGCCTTACATCATTCTCTTGGTAAATTGGTGTCTAGGTGTCCATTGTGTAAGAAAGAAAACGAATCACAAAGTCACTTGTATATGTAATGTACATATACTCAAAATTTTTGGACAACGATTCTCAATATATTCGGATGGCATCTCACATTTCCTAGGGTAAAGGATTTTTGGATAAGGATTTTTGGATATGGCCTTAACGTACCACCTTTTCAAGATCACAAAAGCTCTATTATGGAAAAACCTCATCATGGCTTTCCTGTGGAATGTGGAAAGAAAGAAATAAGAGAATATTTGCAGAAACGACACAGATCTACACAAGACTTTTCGACAATGTTGTTTACCAAATTATATCTTGGTGTAAACTGTCTAATATTATTACTTCCTACCGTTATACCTCCCTCGTTGTAAATTGGGAAGGTCTTTTGTAATCATGGATTATACATCCCTCTTGTAAATTTTATTCTCTCGGAAAAAAAAAAAAAATTCTATACAAATGGAGAAAGAGTTGATATAAAGTTCTTCCATCATTTCATGTCAAACCAAATGTGTACAAAATACTGAGGCAAGTAATTCATGAATGTTATTAACGACCAAAGAATCAAATACTTTACAACCAGAACTTTACATCCTTTTCGTTTTTATTTTCTCCCGAGACCAAATGAGCAAAAATTCCTCTATTTGTGTCTTAACCAATGAATGTCCCTCTACTAAGTTGGTACTAGAATGTCACTTTCATAGAACTTCCAAGAACCATCCTGCTGCCTCTTTACCACGTAACGAACTTTATAGTTGCTGCAAGCGACCAAGGATGAACAAGAGTTTTTAGTGACAGAAAAAGAGAAAACAATGAAAACATGAATATTGCTAGTCGTTCAGATAGACCTATAAGACACAGCAGAAAAAAAGTGAAAATTGAAAACGAATCCAACCAAGGTGGAATGATTGTCACTATTACCTGAGGCCTATAAAAGTTAAAACCAATCAACTATATCAATTAAAAGAGATGACAAGTGAAGGTTGCAATTCCATTCAATGGGGGCAAAAACATGTTTGAATCCCCTTCTCTTTACTATTTTTATCTCTACTTTCCAACAACACAACATTTCCAGACTGAGTTTTTTCCATTCGAAAACCATTTTACTTAAGACCGCATGCACGTTTTCAGTCGATCAAAAGCCAAAAACCCTTTATTCTCTCAACTGATGCAGCTATTCATCCAAAAGGGTTTCATACGCCAAATTTCAAAATTATAAATGCCTAACCTTTTCTGAAAAGGTGATGAAGAAACTGGCAAGCTTTCTAGAAAAGGAAGATTAACCTTATCCAGTTCCATTGTTTCCAAGTCTAACTTGACAAATTTATTTTGACTCTTTTTGTATTCCTATGATTGAGAAACATATAAGATTTTGTATGGGCGGGCAACGAAGATGGCAAGCCGAAACGTCTTGTCAGATAAAATCTGGTTCTAAAAATAATGACAGATGGTGGACTCTGAATTGTGGTTTGAAGGCCAAGAATTCAGCTCTTCCTTTTTTTTTTTTCATGAGAAAATTCTGCTATTCTTGCAAAATAGGGATGGAGATTTTCCATGAGTCATCCACCCTCTGGCAGTAGGTAATTTCAAGTATCCATGGTTTTGATTATTTCCGAAGGCATACTATTGGTAAGAGAAATATTTGTTACCACAACCCTCGGGTCAACATTTCTAATCTTTGTAAATTGGCCGAACATCTGTCTTTCCAGAATTGGTAATGGTAATCGAATTCAAGTTTGGCATGATGAGTGATGTTGGGGTTTCCTTGTCTTTTAATGTGGTTTCTACACCTGGTTGTCCGGTTACAGAATGATGGGATGCTGTAAATTGTTCTTGGAAGATCATACCTTGTTGCAATTTGAAGGATGATGAATTCAAAGAATTGTAAGGGAGGACGAAAATCTTTGGAAAATTGCCCCTTTCAGGCTTTTATTCTGTTAAATATATGACCAATCATTTTCCTACATCTTCTTGCAATTTGAAAGACAAAAAGCCCCAAGAAGGTCAATGTTTTAGTGTGGATTATGCTATATAAAGGGCATGCAGTAGAATTTTTACAAAAGAAGCTGTCTTGTTTTTTGTTACAGCCCTCAATTTGTGCTCTCTGTTTTAAGGCTTTTGAGGATCAAAGTCACATCTTTAACTGTTCTTATGTGTTCAATTGTTGGTATCTCTTTTTCCAACAATTCAATATCCAGTGGCACGATTATTATGGGTCAATGCTATTAAAACTACTATTTATGAGGTTTGGTTCAAGCACATAGATAAATTCATATTTGGAGCCAGAAGTTCAACCTAGCTAAGTTTAACGCCTCTAAAAAAGAATCTCAGTCACTCTTTTTTCTTTGGTGAAAAAACACTTTTCTATTACTTCTGTTTTATGTCTTTTTCTCTGCATCAACAATCTATTATAATCTATTATAAGCATTCACATGCAATTCTAAAACTGATAATAAAAACTAACTATAGCCATAAAAATGTCATTATCTCCTATAATAACTCTGGGCCTTTCATCTACCAGACTCTTGGCCTATCACATTTCCACTAGCTTCTGAATTTAAAACCCACTAAAGAAAATAACATTCAATGTTTATTCAACAAAACTCCCACATAAACTTAAATGCTTCTATCATCCGTTGTGCCAATCATCTTCCTGTATTTGTCAAAGAGTACTTTCGGTAGCGGTTTGGTAAAAATATCCGCAACTTGATCCTGATTTGCCACATGCAGTAATTCCACACTTCCTTCCTTCATGATCTCGGATAAAGTGAAAACGAACGACAATACGTTGGTTCACTGGGTTATTTGCCAACTCAATTACTGATTTGTTGTCAACTTGAATCACGGTTGCACCTAGTTGCTTTAGCTCCATCTTCCTCAACAAATCTCTAAGCCATACCGCGTGACATACACACCAAGATGCTGCCACATATTCAGCTTCACACGTCGAAGCGTCACGATCGGTTGTTTCTTTGAAAGCTAAGAAAATATTGTGTTGCCCATAAAGAATACATAACCCGATGTACTTTTCCGATCGTCTATGTCTCCGCACCAATCGCTGTTAGAGTAACCAACCAACTTGTAATCTTCTACTTTCGAGTAGAACAACCCAAGTGACACCGTTCCTTGGATGAACCGTAGGACTCGCTTCAACGCCTTCCAATGTGAATAAATCGACTCCTCCATGAACCGACTTATAATGCCGACACTTAATGAAAGATCTGGCCTTGTGCACGATAGCGAAGGCTTCCTACCAAACTACGGTACCTATTTGCATCTACTTGTTCTCCTTCATCGTACTTTGAGAGTTTTGCACCTGATTCTATTGGTATTGATACCGGGATGCAATTTGCCATCTTGTACTTCTTCAAAATCATTTTTTTGTATATGTATCCTGTGATATAAAAATACCCGTCTCTCCTTGTTTAACCTCAAAACCAAAGAAAAACTTCAACAAGCCCAAATCTGTCATCTCATATTCTCGTGCCCTTAAACTCTTCAATCATCTCATCATTGTTATCCAAAAAAATGAGGTCATCGACATAGAGAGCAACAAATATCACATTACCTCCATTCTTCTTTGTGTAAAGTGCATGCTCGTAGGGACATTGCATGTACCCGTTCTCCTTGAAATATGAATCGATACGAGTATTCCATGCTCGAGGTGCTTGCTTCAACCCGTAAAGCGCCTTCTTCAATTTTAGTACCTTCTTCTCTTCTCCAATTTTCATGTACATGGGTGGTTGTTCGATGTATAATTCTTCTTCAAGCACACCATTCAAGAATGTTGACTTGACATCCATTTGAAAAATCGGCCATTTGAATTGAGCTGCTTGGGAAATGAGAAATTGGATTGTCTCCATTCTTGCAACGGGAGCAAACACTTCGTCATAGTCGGTTCCCGCCTTTTGCTTGTATCCCTTCGCAACAAGTCGCGCCCTGTACCACTCTATCTTGCCTTGAGCATTCATTTTTTTCTGTTAACTCCCATGTATTGTTGCGATCAATCGCTTTAATTTCCTCATCCATGGCAGTTTGCCACTTCTTGTCTCGCACCGTCTCTTCAAAGCTGATATTTTCAGCATCTGCCAGAAGACATACAAGGTGTACCTCATTTGCTGAAAATATTAGTTTTGAAGAGACGATGTGAGACAAGAAGTGACAAACTGCCATGGATGAGGAGATTAAAGCAATTGATCGCAACAATACATGGGAGTTAACAGAATTACCGGGAGGAAGTCAGTCCATTGGTGTGAAGTGGGTATTCAAGAAAAAAATGAATGCTCGAGGCAAGATAGAGCGGTATAAGGCGCAACTTGTTGTAAAGGGATACAAGCAAAATGCGGAAATCGACTATGACGAAGTGTTTGCTCCCGTTGCAAGAATGGAGACAATCCGATTGCTCATTTCCCAAACGGCTCAATTCAAATGACCGATTTTTCAAATGAATGTCAAGTCGGCATTCTTGAATGGTGTGCTTGATGAAGAAGTCTACATTGAACAACCACCCGGGTACATGAAAATTGGAGAAGAGAAGAAGGTACTAAAATTGAAGAACTTTACGGGTTGAAGCAAGCACTGCGAGCATGGAATACTCGTATCAATACATATTTCAAAGAGAACGGGTACAAGCAATGTCCCTACAGGCATGCACTTTACGCAAAGAAGAGTGGAGGTAAAGTGATATTTGTTGCTCTTTATGTCGATGACCTTATTTTTTTGGGTAACAATGATGGGCACAATGACACAAGAATTTGAGATGACAGATTTGGGCTTATTGAAGTTTTTTCTTGGTTTGGAGGTTAAATAAGGAGAGACGGGTATTTTTATATCACATGAGACATATGCAAAAGAGATTGTGAAGAAGTACAAGATGACAAATTGCAACCCGATATCAATACCAATGGAACCAAGTGCAAAACAACATACGATGAAGGAGAACGAGTAGATGGAAATAGGTACCGGAGTTTGGTAGGAAGCCTTCACTATCTTACATGCACAAGGCCATATCTTTCATTAAGTGTCGGCATTATAAGTCGGTTCATGGAGGAGCCGATTTATTCACATTGGAAGGCGTTGAAGCGAGTGCTACGGTACATCCAAGGAATAGTGTCACTTGGGTTGTTCTACTCGAAAGCAGAAGATTACAAGTTGGTTGGTTACTCTGACAGCGATTGGTGCGGAGACATAGACGATCAAAAAAGTACATCGAGTTATGTATTCTTTATGGGCAACACAACATTTACTGGGTGCAACTGAATATGTGGGAGCATCTTGTGTGTATGTTACGTGATATGGCTTAGAAATTTGTTGAGCAAGATGGAGCTAAAACAACTGGGTGCAACTGCGATTCAAATTGACAACAAATCAGCAATTGAATTGGGAAATAACCCAGTGAACCATGAAAGAAGCAAACACATTGACGTTCGTTTTCACTTTATCCGAGATTATGTGAAGGAAGTGTGGAATTGCTGCATGTGGCAAGTCAGGATCAAGTTGCGGATATTTTTACAAAACCGCTACCGAAAGTACTTTTCGACAAATACAAGAAGATAATTGGCATGACGGATGGTAGAAGCATTTAAGTTTATGGGAGAGTTTTGTTGAATAAACATTAAATGTTATTTTCTTTGGTGGGTTTTAAATCTAGAAGCTAGAGGAAGAATGAAAAGTCAAGAGTCTTGTAGATGAAAGACCAATAGTTGTTATAGGAGATAATGACGTTTTTATGACTATAATTAGTTCTTATTATTTCAGTTTTAGAAGAGCATGTGGCCAATAGTTGTTATAGGAGATAATGACGTTTTTATGGCTATAATTAGACGTTTTTATGGCTATAATTAGTTCTTATTATTTCAGTTTTAGAAGTGAATGCTTATAAATAGATTGTTTTTTCTAGTGCGAAGATGCAGAGAAAAAGACATAAAACAGAGAAGAAGTAGAAAAGTGTTTTTTTAGAAAAATAGAGTGTTTTGTCTCTCCCCTCACCCCTCACCCCTCACCCCTCACCCCTCACCCCTCACCCCTCACCCCTCACCCCTCACTCACTGGAGAAAAAATAGTGTGAATGAGATTGGTTTTGCTTTTTACCTTGTTTCTCTTCCCTTATACCAATGAAAATTTAGTTTCTTGTTGAAAAAATGAAACAAAAAATCTAATCGCGTAGCATAAGAATGTACCTATAATAGTTTGGGTTCTTTGGTTCAGCTTCATTGACAAGCTCAGCTGCTTCCTCTAGATGAACCTCAATTTCTAACGTCGTTGCTCCAAACTTATCTGACAAAGGTTGAGCTCGTAGGACAGACGATTGCAGCAAAACAAATTTCCAATAGCATGATTTAGCTTTTGCAGCATCAGCTAGAGCTTGCCACTGTAAACCAAAAAGAAAGTAACACTATATTAAACACCCATCAACAAAAGATATTGCCAATAAATCTTATTTAAAAAAATTAGCAACTTTTCCACATGCCTCTTTTTCATATGCACGCAGATGTTATTTTCATTAATAAGGCTAAATACATATACTATCGATATTTAAACATAAGAAAATTATTTTTTCTGGGACACTAATGGGGGAGAGGCAGAACTTCATCGACAAAAATGGAGCATAGTCCCAGCTGCTAATTGAAAAGGAAGACCTCAGCCTGAAACATCTAAAGAAACACAATCTAGGTTGCAAAATGGGTTTGGAGATTCCTTCTCGAGTCTGAAGTTCTAAGATGCAAAGTTAAACGGAAAAAAAAAAAAAAGAAAAAAAATGGAAACAGAGTAAAGACAGTTCACTAAAAAAGAAGTCACAAGAGTGGCAAGAGCTCGTGGCCATTCATTGGAAATTCGAACTGGAAGCAAAGATAGTTGGTGAAGGCTTTGTCAGGTTGAGCAAGAAGATGAAAGACGCATTCAATTTTTGGAGGATGTATAGTTAGGTCCCTAAAGGAATGAATGTTTTTGAAGCCTTCATCTGATGGTATTATTGACTATGAATCTCACCATTGGTAGTTGTTGAGAGGAAGGCCTCTAACTAGAACAATAAAACCTATATCTTTTCTAAACATGAGAATAGTATAATCAAAAGCTACAGATACTTGCAGTCTAATTTTGTAAGATGAGGGCGTACATCTCGAACAAAATAAGTACAACCAAATATTTTTGACAAAATAGGGAACCAAGGTTTTATTTGAAATAGAATATGATAAGGAATGTCATCCTAAAAAACAAATGAAGACATGTGATTAATCAAGAAGCAAGCCATGAAATTGCATCAACCCAAAACTGCTTTGGAACATGCATGTGAAAGGATAATGCTCTTGCCGTTTCAAGGAATTGTCTATTCTTTCGTTCATAAACTCTATTTTGGGATGGAGTATTGACACAAGATGATTGACGAAGAATTTCATGCTTACACAAGTACGACCTAAGTGCTTTAGAAAAATACCTACCAGCATATTTGCTTCTCAAAACTGGAAGGGAAACATTAAACGGACTTCTCATTTAGTACGAAAATTACAAAGGTCAGGAAGTAATCAAGAAGAAATCTTCATCAAATAAAATCAAGTCACATGAGAGTAGTTATAAACTGAGATACGAAATATCAAAATTTAGATTTGGATAAAACTGGACAAGGACCCCAAATATTGAAATGAACTAATTCAAAGGCAACACACTTCATAATTCTCCCCATGAGCAACAAACCTAAGTGGTTGCTCCATATACACTTTCTCCTAAAGATTGCCATAGAGAGACATTTTTAATGTCAATCCAACGAACCATAGATGGATTGAGTCCTCAAATTAACCACATTAGATATCACTGCAAGCTCTTGTTGGACCACTGGTCAATCACGGGTGTAGAAACACAAAATCTAATCAAAATCCACAGAGTCAAAACCTAAAGACTACACAAACTCTGAAAAATAGATCTGAAAGAGTTCCTAATAAAATATAGGCGTACATGGAAGCCCTAAACCAACAATAGTAAACTTATAGTTAAGGATAAAAGACTACCAAGCTGCAATGTTCACACATACTGTAACAGTTTTCTCACATTGACGTCTGTTGCTATTCCAAAAAACGTTTTCCTTATTACTTTTATTTTTCTTCACAGATATTTAGTAGTTTTTTCATTGTTAGCTGACTTCAATGGTTGATATTAGTCTTTTTCTTGACTACGTATGTAGTTAGTAAAGTTTCAGTTTCTCATGTACAAGAAATATTGATCCTTAGATTGTGATGAAAGCAGCTCAAATTTCAATACTCTTTACCTGGAAAAGCATTGTTCCATCGAGAATTTCAGGAAGTCTATATATTTCATAGTTAGGTCCCAAAGCTTCAGCTTTGATCTTTTGCCATTGGTTCACAAGTGCTTCAGCTTCTTCAATCGACATCAGCTTGAGTGGAGCAGTAATTGCAGATAATAATGGCACATCACTTCTGCCTGATAAAATCCTCCCCTTCCTCATTAACTTCAACAAAAGCTTTTTAAGACTACTAAGATTTGAACTCCTCTTCATATTTGGAGCTATAACATTATCTGTAGACAAAGCCTCATCGCTGAAAAGAGAGCTGGTATTCAGGCTTGTTTTATGTGGGGTCCATGTAGGAACAAGATTCATCTTTATCATCATGCTCGTTAGCTTGAAGCAAGCAAAACTGATACATCCAACTACAAAAAGAACTTTCATGTTCTTGACAAGACTGCCCCTGACCAGCCATAATTCTGAAATTTTCCATTTGTTTATGCGAAGGTCCCTTTTCAATTGAACTGATGATGAGTTGGCATCAATTGTTTTTTTGTCCGTTCCTAATTGACTTGGCAAGTTAGTAGGTGTTAACCGTCTAACAATGTTCCCAAGATTTTGTGAGGTACTCAAATTAGGAAAGGAGTCCTCAACATCCCTCCACTCTGATCCAGAAGAAGAGGATATGGGCCTGTTATTCGTGTGAACTATACTCTGATGAGAATGGTTAATTTTCTTCTTTGCTTCCGTTTTCTTCTCGCTGCGGAAAAATCTAGTCTGCACAAACATAGAAAAACGAAGTTTCCTCTACCAAGTTCAGCATACTTTTTGATTAAGATAGTGTTAATTCATCTGATCTAATGGTATGAATCTTACCAACGTCAGAGAGCAATCCCGCGTATCTTTAAAGACACCAAGGACAGTATCCTTCAGCCATATTTCCTGTTCAAGTTCAACAGCCTTTTAGAAATGAAAATATTATAAACATCAAGAAAAGCAGATCAAGGACAGTATCCTGGACACGAATTGCACAATATCAGAAAAGTGAATATGCCTCCAAGCTACTATCAAATATTGTGTATGTCAAAAGTTCCCAAAGTTCGTGTTTCAACCACATCAAGTTTGAAACAAACGATTTATAAGAATAGCTTAACTGTAGCACTTCTATTTCCAACTCAAGTGTATAAACATAGAAAAAAATGAGGTTTCGGGTGCATTGGTCATAGACATAAGCAAACCATTGACAAGTATAGAAAATCAAGCTGTAAATTAGGGCTTTATATTTGGGAATGTTTCCTTGTAGGTTAATTGTATTTGGTCCTCATGGTTTGGAGAAAGTTCAAATTTAGTCCCTAATGATTTAGAAGTTAGAATTGTGCCCTCATGGTTTCAAGACATCTCATAAATCATCCCTATGGTTTGATAAAACCTTCATAAATAGTCCTCATGGTTTGAAGGGAAATCAGTCTTCAACACAATACGGTGATCAACCCCCCTTTTGGTTGAAGCCTTTCAGGAAATCCAAACACGGTATCATATTATCATATTCAGTTAACAAATCTCGACCCTCAGATGGTAGCAATCTGTCTCTCATCTTGCTTTTGTTTTCCTCTTCATCATTATGTTCATGTGTTTCAAGTCTCGTAACTCAAATAGGATTCCCTGATCAAGCCAACATCTTCAGAATGATTTCAGCTCTCATCAAGGATGGATCGCTGATAACTTGCGAAAACAAGTTATTTGGTACTTGAAACTAACCTATTGAAACCCTCAACGAAATGTCTATGCATCCAAAAGGGCATCCATTCAAGCTTATTATTCATAAACTCAGCATGTGGTATTTAAGCGTTGGAAGTCTGTGCATTTGAACTTCTAAGGTATTTGCTAAATTGTGATATTTGTGCATCAAATACGCCAATGAATGCAGCGTCGAACATTTTCAGTTCCTTGCACAGGAAAGAAAGAAGGAAAATGGAGGAATTTGTGCGAGAACAAAGGTACACCAACGGATGTTGTGCAAGAAAAGCATACAGATGTGTCGAGCCAAGAAGAATTCCTTCCCACAAGGCAAAAGCACTAAACACAAATAGGGGGCCACGTCATACTGAGACCAACTGGCAGAAGATCCTAGCGTTCATATCATAGTGTGTGCTCCCATAACAGAGTGGCAAACCTGCACCTTGTCCTTTTGGTCCCCTTACGCATGATATTCGGTGCGTGTGGAGATGAAGGATGTGCGTGAGAGCCATGCTGAGCTTTGTCTATTCATTTCTCCGCGAGAATGGATAAGGGAGGGGGGTTTCCTGAGAGTTTTTAGAGAGAAGAGGTTTTATTCCTCACCTTCCTATGGAGTCGCCAATGCAGGTCTTCGCTAGAAGGGGAGAACGCAAGGAAGGAGTAACATCCCTCCTTGTCGCATTCGAGAGGAAGATCACCATTGATTTATTAACTCCGCCCGTTGTGGGCCCTACAACTACTCTCTCCTCTCTTCTCCCCTTTCTCTCTCCATTTTTTTAACATGATTTTTTAGTTTTTTTTTATATTTCATACAAAATATATAAGAAATACAATAGTTTAACTTCTTCCTAAAATTCAACTAAATCAAATGGACAAAAAGAGAAAATTTACCAATGATTGATATGTGTTCTCGGCATTCTTTTTCTCCATTCCTGAATTTGACAATCGAGTAGGCATAGCTGGTTTTGGATTCAAAGTAGACTGATGAAGCTTTTCAAAAACCTCAGAATCACTGCACTGGAAACATAATATCCAACATTTGAATGACTGAAGTCTAAATAATCAAATTTCAGCACTTTCAGACAGGTAAATAACATGGAATTATTTTATCGAAGTGCATATGTAATATTAAAGACAATTTACCTGACCAAGAAGAAAAGCACAAAAAGCCTCCTCAAGTTTCAAATCGACTCCCTCTGATGCTATCAGACATTCACATATAGTTTTTGCTTTTTCAATCTACAAAAGAATAGCATAAGCAATAGTAGTGATTAAAGGAAATATAGAAATCCGCTCTTATGTTTTTAGTGACTGTTATTCAATCATCTTAATGCACAAATATTTTGAGAAATGTGGTATGCATATGTGCAAATAACAGAACTTCGCTATTAAGCTATGGGTTGATCAGATGCTCAAATGAAATTACCAAGTCTGTCTGCCTGCTTGAAAACCCAAGGGCAAGATGAGCTTTGAAAGCCATATAGAAGCAATTAAAATCAACCACAACCCTTTGATTCTGTGACTCAATTGATTTCTTGTTCTTTCTTATAAAAGCTAATTCATCCCATGGAAGAAGATCAACCAATTCTGCTGTCATTAGCCTACCAAGAGCTTGGTTTAAGAAGCATGGCCAATCTTGAACCTGACACGATGTTTCCACATCAAGACCTTGTCTCAGCAATTCACGTAACGCTGCAATTGCTCCAGCTCTCCGTTCAGTATTGGTGGGTAAGCTTGGCATTCCCAACAACTCCAGTGTGCAAGCAGGTGCAAGTTCCTCCAAAGATTCTTCAATCTGAAACCAGGACAAGCAAAAAGTCTTTGTTTTGGTTGTTCTTTTATAGGAAAAATGTTTAAAACCAAATGACATAGCAGATCAACCATCTATAAAATTTAGAAAATGTAACATTTTAATCATGAAGTAACAAAAACAATATAGAGGGGAAACAAAAACTTGGAATGCATAATAAAACTAAAATGGTAAGAACATGACATCCCTAAATTGTTTTACATCCCAAAACATCTTGAAAATTTCCTGGTTACAATCCTACCACACATTTTTCATATGAGAAATATGAAAGATATTTCATTAAGAAAAAATAAAAACTAATTGCATGTTTTTCAATTTTTTAGAAAAGACTGCCAAATTTTCATGAATTTTCGTAAATGCTAATAATGCTATCTGAGGTTGTTTTAAAATGTTACAAAAGTTCAAGTAAACCAGTCCATCAACTCCATTGCACTATTAGGATCTATTGTCAGCACATCGTGTTTAAGGCTTAATCCATATGTGTATAAGAATACCTGAAATGAAGAATGTAATACAACAATAAAGGACAGTACAACTAAGGTATTTACATTGTCAAAACATCGTGTTTGAGGTTTAATCAGTATGTATAGAAGGTCACAGCTAACTTCCCGTGGCGGCTGACCTTACAGAATTGACCCGCATGGTCACCATAATGGCACATATGTTCATGAGGTACTATGTTGGGAGGGACCTAGCACCACCGGAGGATCACCAACTAATCTCCAATGGAGTTTGACTTTACAGGATTGACCCTCATAGGCACCATAGTTGGTAGTCTTGGATAAGTCAATTGTTCAACTATACCGAACACATTAGTGTAAATGTGTTAGACTGAATGTTGCCATGATTTCAGTTAAACGTCACGTATGTACCAAAACACGTTAGTGTAAATGAGTTAGAATGTTGCCATGATTTCTGTTAATGCCCCATATGTATCAAAACACATTCTTGTACATTTGTCAAGATCCACATGTATTCAGTATCATAATTTTACATATGATTGCAGCTCCAACCACACCAAAGAGACTACTTATTGAGTATTCTAACATTCACCCAGGCTTCATGCTTTTTTTTTTCCGAATAACCTAAATGTACAAAGAGTGACAAAGGCATTCTTGCTAGCCATGGTGACAATGCAAATCAGGAGTCTCAAGATTACCCTTAGTTTCAGCTATTTCTAGGCATTCGTTTTAACTCCTGTAATTGTCCTAAATACCAATTTTTTATTTAAGAGGCTTTGTAATTTTAAAATTATTTTTACAAATTTCACTCGTGGGATCTCAAACTCAAATTTTTTTATTCCATTCCCTTGCATATTCCTTTCCCCCTTACCGCGGTTCTTGTGCCCATGATCACCTCAAAGTTAGTAGTAACTTGAGTTTCTCGACCACTGTCAAAGATTAAGTTATTGGTAGCCCCACAGTCTACAAGGATGACGACTTCTTCATGCTTGATTGTTCCTCTCACCTTCACCATTCCCAGGGTAGAAAACTCCACCACCTTGTTCCTCTAACCTTCACCTTCCATTCAGTTGTCAAATAAATCTCCATCCAAATTTCCTTCTACTCAGCACAATTCCTCTGATGCTATCTCGTCACTCACAACTAGAAATCTCAATTCCTTGCTTTCACATTTTTTACCTACAAAGAACTTCTCATTGCAAACACCTTTCTTTTTTTGTGACTACAGTTGTGTATCAGTTAGGCACTTGTAAGACAGTTGCCTATACTGGGTAGGTTGAGGGCTAGCCAATGTTATCGTGAGAATGGGACGCACAACAATCACCATCATTAGAGTCTTTGTTAGCATGTTCTTTGTGCTACTCATCAACGTAGTACTAGAATTGTTTGGTTTAAGTAACTTACTTGAGCCCATCCCAAGGCCATATGGGCATGGTCTTATCCTTTGTCATCTTCATCATGGCCTCTAAGCGTAGGGGTTTGAAGCATAGTACTTCAGTACAAATTTCATCCTCCAACCCTTTAGAAACATTTCCTCCATTACTTCCTTGGAAAAATGGTAAAAAGGCCCAAACAATGCATCAAAACATGCCCAAAAGTCAGCAATTGTGCTCTCTTGTCGATTGGCTAGGAAGCAAGAACATATGGAACCTCTTGCGATGGCCAGAAGCGGTTCAATAACCTTCTCTTCAGGTCTCTCTAGTCTTCAAATGGGTTCCTTCTCTCAGCCCAATGGGACCAATGAAGTGCAACTCCAATAAAATTGATTGTTGTTACTGTCTCCTTCTCTGCCTCTGATAACTGATGTATATCAAAACGTCACTTTGCTCCAAAGAGTCAATCATTCAGCTGGTCTCCATCAAGCACTAATACATCAACCCTTTTGAATTCATGTATGACAATTCGTTATTATTCGATTTTGTCTTCTCGATTTTTCGTCCTTGCACTCCCTTTACTGCTTGTTCATCCCCATTCTGCCTCAAGTGTCTATTTTTTGTCCTAGGTCCCTCTTTATGTAGAGAATTGTGTTCATATTTCAGTAGCTAAAACCTTTTAATTATCATTTGTTATCTGTCGGTGGTCCTCCATACTTGGGAAGAGCCTCCTAATATTTCTATTCATTTTTGCCCATAAATTTTTCTAGCTCTGGGATCTTATCACAAACTGATTACATACTTTTCTTCGACTCTCCCTTCGTTCTTCAAGTATGCATTGTGACATGCTCCTCATCTTAACCGGGATGATTTCTCTTATACAACTTTGTAAGGATCCTTCTTACAATGATATAGTTAGTCAATAAAGAATGAGATTCCAAGTTTCAGCAACCTTTCGAGAGGGTGGGTCTCTCCCTTTTCATATCCAGACTGGTATGACAAACTAACAACAAAACATGAGCCTCGACAAAAGTACCATCCAAAATATAAATACTAACAACGGGCATTAACTGATGAAGTGAATATTTCCATCTTTGCCCTCCTAACATACACTTCTACAATTAGGGGCCTCACAATTTATATCAGTAAGCTAAACTATTTATTTTCTCTACCAGAATGAAATGGATTCAGAAGGTAGGCAAAAGAATGTATTGTGGATTGATTCAATAAAGACTTTTTTATGAGACATTTGGAAGGAAAAAAGTTCGATAATTTTGTAAGATAAAAGCATATTACGGGAAAAGAGATTTTCTTTCATGAAACAAGTGTCAGCTTCATGGCGCATTCTTTCTTTATATCTTTGCAATAGTTCTTTATTTGAAATATGTACTCATGGGAGTCCTTTTGTAATCTAGGTTGAGTTGGTTGTTGTGGGTAGGTTAGGTTGATGGTCTTTTGAAATTTTGTTACTTTGTTCATTTTGGATAAATAGACTTAACTTGGGTTTTACTATTGTAACTTTTCACTTATCAATGAAAAGGTTCTCTTAAAAAAAAATTCTTTTGCATTCTTTAACAATATCTTGTACAGACCACGAAAATGTTAGTATTGGCCTATTGGGAGCCTTGGGTGAGCAAAGCATTAGTAGGTAACCAACTCAAAGTAATGTCAATTTAACCTTCCTCAGTAATGTACCTATCATTTTCAATCTAAAAACACGGATCAAATATGAAATTACGAAGGTACTTATTCTCGCAAATGATCTACCTCTTTTCTACAATAACAAAACTATTATTCCAAATACAAAAAATACTAATTATGGATAGAAAGAGAAGAAGCTGAATATTCCTCCCCTTTTCTTCAATAATGAACATACCATTTTTGATCTATATACAAGAATACTTGTTCTAAACTTAACAAATACTCGAATGACAAATCCATAATCCAAAGTGAAAACCAATTCTTACACACTGAATAACAAAGGAGAGAGACCAAAAATGAAAGAAAACTGAAGAGTGAGAGTGACCTTTACATTGCTCGAAATCCCTATTCGTTTTCAAAATTATCAAATTTTATTGCCAAGTATTGTACTTCAGAACTGTTCACTAATTCAACAAAAATTGGATTTCTTCTCAAAAACACTCTAGATATTATATACACAAGCTAGAAACCCCCAAGGGGGAAAGAAAATATACTATCACAGAGAAAAAACGGTGGTCGGCCAAGTCAAGGTACAAGAGTCTACATGCATAATAGGCGGAGCATTAAATTTCCTAACAGTTTATTAGAATACAAAATTGACATAATAAAAGAACTGGACTTTCACCTGAGATAACAATTTTAGTTTCCGAAGAGATGTTTGACCTCTTAGTAGATATTGAGCACGTGCCAGAGCTTCAAAACCTTGAGACACCGTGTTCTTCTCAAAACCAATCTTTGCAATTGCACACTTCAAGAAAGCACCTAATATAAGAATAGGAAGTATAACAAGACTAAAATAAGAATGGGGTGTTCCAGGAGTCTTGGCCTACTGTCCATAACAACATACCTCTGCTAATACCATGGAAAGCAGTATATCGTGCATATAAGGCTTAGCCAATGGACATTGAATAACTGTCTTTCCAATGTCGAGCACTATTTTTGCTTGTCCAACCTAAACAAATAGGGAAGAAATAAAAATTACATTACTCATCTTTCATCTATTTCAATTCGTCTCACTCCAAGATGAATAAAAGGAAAAGATAGAACTCCCTTCAGACTAAAATCAACAAGAAAGTGCTTCAGCTTTTTAAAAATTCAACCAACGTTAGCATAAGAAATATTAAAAAGAGGTTGCATGCTTAAGAAACAAACAAGAGAATCAAACTTTAGGGGCAAAAATAAAATTACTCTAAATGCAACCTATAATTTAACAACTGAACCTGGAAATGTTTAAGCTACAAAATGTTATTAAAAAAAAAAATTAAAAGGGTATAACATGAATTTCCCGAAAAGGTGAGTACTATGCATGTTGAACTACCTCTTGAAGAAGGCAAAGAGCACCTGGCAACCAAGCCCAAGGAATTCGAATGGAAGACTTAGGTGGGATGTTTTCCTTCATATTACCAGCATAATGTGGTTCAAACAGAAGCTTATCTCTCACATCCATTAAAAGATCCTGCAATATCCCAAAATAACATTGTATAAATATGAAGAGAACGCTTTTCTCCTGTTTTATAAAATGATGAAGTACAACTTAATATGGCCCCTCAATTATAAAAGGACTAGCAGGTGAAAAAATAAAGACTAAATTATTAAAAAAAAAAGCTCCTAAACTTTGTCATTTGTTTCAAAAATTCCCCTGTTCTTTCATAAGTTATAATATTATCCTCCACCTTTCATATACATTTCTTCTCTAAAAAAGAAAGGATTTCTGGTAACTCCACGTCTCGATGAGAGAGAAAAATTTGGTAGGAATAAAAGTTGAATGAGGATGGATTTTGTAATTCTTCTTTCAATCAGTACTCCCCAAACGTCCCTCACTTCGTGCCATCTAAGGAGGTGCATTCCACATTTTTCTATCGGCCATCTATAGGAATTCCTAAAACATATCTCCAAAAAATTTATTTATGTGTGCCAGGTTATCCACAAAAGAGTCAACTTGATTGAGTATTGAGGAAGCTATCCAGTTTGATTGGGCCTCTATATTGCATTCTCTGTAGGAGGGTGGCTGAGGATCTCGACAATATTCAAGGCAGGGGCTGCTACTAAAAATCAGTCCATCAAAGACAGAATAAAGAAATTTTCCAAAAAGCTAGACCAAGAATCATTAGAAAGAGGAAGATCAATGGGGGTCGCATTGTCAATAAACCAAATTTCCTATGATGAGAGTAAAAAGAGAGCATTCCATAACAAATCTCTTCATCTTTCCTCAAAGAAGATTTCAAAAGTTCTATTTTTCCTTCTTAGAAAGGAAACAATTTCATTGAAGCTATGGAATTTACAAACAAGAGAAACTCATCCAATGAAGTCTCTTTTATTTATATATATATATAAGAGACAATTTCATTATATTTGTTATCAATAATGCTTACAAAAGACCTTACCAATTTATAATGAGGGATGCATGACTACCGGAAGTAAAAATATCAAACAATTTACACCAAGAAATGACATGGTAAATGACATTGTCAAAGAGTCTCGTATAAGTCGGTGTCTTCTCCATGATTACTCTTTGATTTCTTTCTTTCTATAGATTCCAAAAGAAAGATACGACGAGATTTGTCCATGACATAGTTTTTTCATTCTTGAAGGGGTGGTATGTTAAAACCACATCCAATAATTCTTTTACCTCCCTAGGAAAAGTAAGGTGTCATCCAACGATATTGAGAATCTTTATCCATAAATTATAACTATATGCACACTGCACAAACAAGGCTCCAATCAAGATCGTGGGGAAATTTGATGAAGATATCGTCCTTTGTACATAATGATATGTAAAAGGACATGAATTCTGAGACAATCTCATCTTCGTTAACTTATCTTCGTCTTTGTGTCGATAGAATTTTCATGATGGTACTATTTTGTTTCTTTGAGGCCATGATGTGATGGAAAAATCTGGAGTTTATGTCACCCTCTTCAAGTTATCTTTTTTTAAACTTTTGTCTCCAAGATTGCTCTTCCTTTGCTGCCAACAAAATGAGTTCAGCTTTCATGAGCTTCTTACGTGTGTTGAACTAATGAATCTATGTCCCGACCTGCCACAGAAAGGTGTGTTCTTCCACCAGTATTCTATCGTGGGCAAAAATTCAATGTGATCCAACCATATTCTCAAAACGAAAGAGTGAGAGGCCCATGCAAAGTACAATGGATAATGATCCAATGTACCTCTATTTAGTCTTCAGACATCAGCATTACTAAATTTTTCTAGGAGACATTCAGTAGCCAGAAATCAATCGATGAGCATCATTGATTTGTCAAGGTGGGTGGGGATCTATTGTTCGACCAAGTATAAAGACCATTACTAAGGGGATGATCAATGAGTTTATCTTTTCTTATGAAATTAATAAAATGTTTCATGCCTTCGGTGACTTTTCTGTTGATTTTCCATGTGCCCATTGGAAGATACTGAAATCACCGGCCAAATGCCAATTTCTTGTGAAAAGGCAAGAGAGGTCCAGTAATTCCTACCAATAGAGGGGTCTTTCTTGGTATCTACAGGGGCCATAGATCCTTGATATCCAAAAGAATGTAACCGTTAGCCAAAGGAATATATGTGGTTATGGTGTACAGACCTTCAGTGACTTCAGAGATGATCGTAGCTGGGTCATTCCACATCATTAAGATCCCCCCGATGTTGCGGAGGCATCCAAAGATTTCCAACCATTATGTCTAGCACTCCAAAGGGATTTAACAATCACTAGAATTCAATTTTATTTCTGGAAGAATGATCAAATTTGATTTGAGGAGGAAGGTTTTGATGAGGGCTCTCTTCTACTAGTCTCTCGAGCCTTTGACATTCCAAGAGATGATAATCGGAAAAGGTTTTGGCCACCCGATTGGGAATTTCTGGATTTATCATAATTGATGTTTGAGAGGAGGCCAGCAATCTCCCCAATTAGTTTGCACTGTTTCTTGGCTGTAGTGGATTCTTTTTTTCCGTGATGAGACTGCAATGAAGTACATGTGGTGTTCTTTCAACCATGGTGCCAGAATTCTGATGGTTGTTGGTGTGAGGGTCACCGAAATCGGGATGACTTTTTCTGCCTTTGTTTCATTCGGTTTTTCCTGAAGTAGAGTAAAATATTGTATTTGAGAGGATAATCTCTAGCGATGAGAGAGAGAGATTGGGTGTACCTGCACTAGGGAGGGAAAAAAATATCTTGCTTGGAGGGTATAAAGAAACTATATCAACAGAAACGGAGGGAAAAAAATTTATATTTCCATCCTTGACACCAATTTCTGCTGGGATGAAGCCACAAATGTTTTCCTCAACTTCAATTACAGCAGCCAAGCAATCAATAAAGTTAAGTGTTTGGGAGGAAATACAGATCAACCACCAAAATGTTGCCCTATAGCTTCAAAGAAGGGTTATTTCCAATATATCAAAGGTAAATTCTTCATAGAGATCCATCCTCCCTATAAATTCTAGATGGGAATTTGTTATAGGTCCAAGTCCAAGATCGAGTTATGGGTCTCTCATAAGTGAAGGTAGAAGGTGTTTGTGTGGGTGAAGAAGTAGAACTCTTCTTTAGACCTATTTTGAATAGTTGTAAGGCTCAAATAGAGGGAACCTTAATACCTCTAAGTTAAAAGTACTCCGGACTAAATTGAGAATCTTTTGCTACCCTCTTCATTGATGTTTATGACTAATTATACAAGTTGTATAACAATCATTGATACATCAATGAAACCATGACTCAATCATGGAGGATTATAATCCTAAAACAAAAGAAATAACTATGAAAGTGGAGACCTGGGAACAATGACCAGCATTAGTTGTTACACCAATGGAACAATGACCCAACCATGAAGGATCATCCTTCTAAAACAAAAGAAATAACTAAAAATATAAATGAGAGTGGACTTCTTACAATACGGGAACTGAAAAAATGCATGAAGAAAAATTCAACCAACAACAAAAGATAGTTTGAATTGGTCAACCTTCAATTATTCTTCTTTTACATGTCATCGTCAGTGGATTCCATACATGGCTGCTTTTTTTTGCCATGAGTGTAATGTGTGTACATTTGTAGTGGCATTGTATCAGAATGCTTCCAACGGTCAATTTTCAAATGAAGATCACCAAAAAAGACCCCACTTTCCATCAAATTCAAATCAAAGAAATCACCATCAATCTTTATCAAAGTCTTGTCATCCAGAAATGGATTAATTGAAATTTCGGACTGGAAATAATTTTGTAATGTGATCTACAAATCCTTCCAAGAGTAGTGAGCAAGCATCCTAGAAACCACCAAAATGGATTTAAAGTACAAAACCACCACTTTTCTCTCTTTCCTCACCCAAAAAGAAAAAACCTAAAGAAATCACAATGGGCACTGCTTTCAAATGATCATAACTTTGAAGAAAGCTAGAATCCTGCCTGATCACTTCCACATAACTTTTTAATTTTTGCTTGGGTTTTCACCAATAACAGCCTGTGACGAAACAACTTCCTGAATCTGAGTAGAAGAAATAGGTGTAGAATGCTTCAACTCCCCCCTGTTTTAAGAGAAATTCTCTTACCATCTCCAAACAATAATTCATCTCTTCTAATCAAAACCAGCAGTAACATGAACATTTTTTTCTTCCTCTCGAGGAAGGCCAAACGGCACATTAAAAGTACCAACCAAGGGAGGATCAAAACTTACAAACGAATGGTCCCAAAATCCTCCATAAATTTCTTATGAAAAAACGAGTGTACTGGAAATTGCAATAGTTCAACCAAGGAACATCCAAACCAACGTATAAGAGAGAAAGAAAGAGGAATCTGCTCAGCAATTTGAAGAGAGACATAATAATTGGGCAATGGAAAGAGTTACATTAATGATAGTCTACCACCTTTAGAAATAAAGAAATGCAGCCAATTTAGAAGTTTTCTTTCTACTTTCTCAATTTGGAAGGTATTTGACAATCCCTTGTGATGTGGAGGTCTTTTTGACCATTATTCAGACGGGACACCCCTATAGGGATGTGAAGGCTATGTTGTGGATGTATATAATCCGTGCCTTCTTTTGGGCATGATGGAAGGAAAAAAACCAAAGGGCGTTCTTGTACAAATAGCTCACATTTTATGGGTTTTTTAATCACGTTGTTTATTAATCAATTTCTTGATGTAAATTGTCTTCGTTTCACATAGTTATGCATCCTTTTTATCAAATTGGGAGTGCCTTTTGTAATCATCATGTGGATTTACCATCCTTTTGTAAATATCATACATCAGTGAAATGCTTTTTACTAATGAAAAAAAACAATTGCATGCCAAGAGGAATTAAAATTTTCATAAAGAGGAAGCCCCAGATAAGTGTTAGAGAAATTTCCCACCCCACAATAAGACTTTCCAGCCCCGTGTTCCAACCACGACTCATCACAATTCACCCTTACAAATGCAGAATTTTGACGATTGATGTTCAGCCTAGATGCTTAAAAAAAACACCAGTGAAAGTTGCCTTTTGTTTCAAAAATACTCCTACTTTTTTCAAAAGTTGTAACAGCATTCTAGATCTTTCATAAACGTTCAAATATACACTTGCAATAGAAATTCATTAGAATGTTGGACAGAGAATCAACTTGCTGGTGACCTAGAACAACGTCTGGTGCTAGAACACTAGCTTGTATTAAGTCTAAAAGAACGTATTTCATTCTATTGACTTTTTGCCCAACATCCTAATGAATTTTCTAGTTCAATAGTAGTTTCAATACATTTATGGATGGTCAATGGTAACATTGCAACTTTTGAAAGAATAGGAGTATTTTTTAAACAAAAGTGCAAAGCTCAAATATATTTTTTTATAATTTAGCTTATTGTTTTCCTCTTTGGGAGGAGAAAAAATTGTGTCACAAGCAATTGCAAACAGTTTATATGAAGGCTATCCCTACCCATTAGAAGCCTCTAACCAAATTCTTAGATGCACCATACATTAATAATTCACTAAGGCAATTGGCTACCAAGATGAAAAGGAAAGGTAAAAGAGGATTGCCTTTCCATTAATGATGATAGAGAAAAATCTCCACGGTACAACTTCTAATCCAACTTCTCCATTTTAAGCCAGAACACTTAACTTTCAAAATTTCATCTAGAAAGTCCCAATCAAATTTATCAAAAGCTTTCTCCATATCAAGTTCAATGACCACCCCTTCTTTTTCAATCAAACATCTAAGAGCTCATTGAGTGAAGGGGAGGCATCCAAAATTTGACGACCTGCCATAAAAGCCGATTGATATTCCAAAATCATTGAAAGCAAGAAACTTTTCAATCACTCAGATAAAATCCTAAAAATATCTTGTACATAAGGCTAATGTCAATGATCTCCCACAGACCTAGCATCCACCTTCTTGGGAATACGTCAGATATAAGTCTAGCAAATATTCAAGTGTTTTCATTCATATGAAACTACTAGCCATGATAACTAGAAAACCGTTCAACTCTAAACCAAATGTTGGCAAAGAAAAGAATCAACATGTACTTCAACCAGTCAACATAAAGTCCCAACCTGGCGAGATGCAATGGCATCAACGGAGTAACCTTCTTCGATTTCAACGTTTCTTAATTCCATCACCGATTTAACAATCTCATCTTTTTCCGATTTTTCTGGGACACCAATAAGCTGCACAATGAACGTTTGTATCTTATAACTAATTGAAAATATATCATAAAAAGGTGAGCTGACAATGTAATCACGGCTTGTTCAAGTCATTAAAGCATAAACTTGTAAGACTAAAGAAAATAAAAAGGCACATATCAAACATAATTCATCAGTTTATCAAAACACGGTTAAGGGTGAGCAATATAGCAAAGAGCAAGGATGAGATATTTACAAAAAAAAAAGAAAAGAAAGATACAAGTCGCCCTATCATTTGAAAGGTCCAGACCTTGAGAGATGTTCTATTTGCTAACTCAAGATCACCCTTTATGTTTAGTGATTGCAAGAGAAGCTAGTTTTCACTTATCAATTCCTTGTATCATTCAACCAATGAATTAAGGATGGTAAAGTTTTCTTTCATATTTTTCAAGACTTGTTTTTATACTTGTAAGTGTCTAAGCTAACTTGCACACACCTCAAATATTCTCAAAGGACGACTGAATAGCATCTAGAATTTGTTGACAAGAAACCTCATAGAATATTAAATCCTAGGTAAGCAGCCATCATGGCTTGAATCTATTCCCTATAAGCCTTTTATTATTTTTATGGTCTTTGTTGACCATAAAGCTAACACAATGTGGTTTATTATTGTAATGCCCTGAATAAGTTAAGTTAACCCACGAGAAGACTAAATGACCTATGGAGAATCTGAGAGACCCAAGGTGGTAAATTCAATGCCCTAAGAAGGTTTCTTGAGAACTTAAGGTCTTTGGAAAAGGATTGGAAAGGAAAAAGTAAGTATAAATGGCAAAAATGCCATTTTTATAATTTTTAAGGAACTTTCCGGATTTTTAATTCCTTACCAAGAAGGAATTTCAAGATACTCAAGAAGGGGAAACAACCAAAAAAACCTTAAAAAAACTTTTAAAAAATTTTGTATTTTTCTGAAAAAAATAACAAAATAATTTTAAAAAAGTGGCAAATCACTAAAATACCCCTGAACTTTGAAATATTTACGAAACAAAAAGACCAGATTTACAACCATAAGGGCAGCCTGCATAAAATCGAGGATATCTCAAAATCCAACCGTTGATCTTCCCCGAATTTTGATATGTTCTAGAAGACACAGAACTCATCAAATCCAACGGCTGCCATTCAAAATGAAGGTCGGCCCTTGATCGAAGAAGATATTTCCGTCAAAAATTTTAGAAAATTAAACTTCAAATTAGAGGCGGTTCTAGATGTTTCAATATCGGTTTAAGCTCCCTCTATAAATTATGAAGTATGGGGGGTCATTTGGAGCAAGAAACATGAGTTGGCAAGCCTCCCATCACAAGTTATAAGAGTTTTGTTTTTGGATCTCTCCCTCTTGGATTTCTTCTAAATTCGAAAGCTATAATCCACTATTTCCCTATGAACTTGTTCTACACCTTCTAAATAAGATTGCCGACAACTTTGGTGAAGAAATCGAGTGGTGAAAGTGTCTCTAACGTGTTTACCCTATACAGTCTGTCATTAACGAGTTTAAGAAAAAACTTGAATTCCCAATCCGAGGTTACACACGAATTCTGCATTTCTAACCTATCCCATTCAGTTCCTACACCATCAAGGAGTATTTGCATAGGAGACCTTGAAGAACAACCTCAAGAGCATGCCAACCGAAGGAAATCGTTTTCAGGTAAGATTTGGGGGTAAATTTGAATTTTTTACCTATGGTTCCTCTGGTTCAAAATTAAGCATTTCATTAGTTTTAGGGGATTAAGTTGAACGTTTTTTATGAAGAAAACGAAACCTAATGAGGCCTAGATCAAGCTGCCCAAGAGGATCGAGTTTCTGCGTCTTGGTTGACTTGCAAACCGAGGTTTTGACTCCAAAATTAGCCACGATCACGTGAAGTCATCCCTTCAAAATAAATTTGTAAGCTTGAGGGAAATATAAGGAAGAAGTGTGAAGAAATTGTGGCCTGAAAGTGTCCAAATCATTCCAACCAATAAGAAATTCCAGTCGGTTTACTTCGGTGAGGAAACAGATTTTCCATCGACTATGAAGGCCTATAAGTTGAGCTACATTGCAAGAAAAGGTAAGATGTTTGTCCCCATCTCTTCCTTGATGTACCATCTTTAAGTTCCACGAAGAAATCAAGGGAAGAAACACTTTGAAATCAGTTGGAGAGGCTGATTTTCAGATGGTGCGCTCGTCTATTTTCAGATGGTCAGCTCAACTTCATATTTCCTCTTGGTTCTCAAAATTAACCCCCTTCGAGACCCGTTCTCATGAAATTCTTGATGGTTCTAGAAATTAGACATCCTAACAAAGCTATCAAAGAAAAATTGGAGTAATCCGAGTACCGAAAGCTCGAGAATCGAGGCCCCGAACATCGACCAAAAGGTAAGTAGCAAATCTGGACTTTTCTTAAAAAAAAAATACTTGTAGGAATTGTTTGGATTTCAACGTGAACCTTAAGTTAAGTATGAAGGATTATGGAAGAATTCAGTCAAGAGTCGTGAGTTAAGGACCTAAACCGAGCATTTTTTTTTTTAGAATCAAATAACATTAAAATAACCCACTAAATGAATTCCGCTTCCCATCAAATTTTAATGCTAGTCATAATATGACACGTTAAGGTTACATATGAAAATTTGGTGGTCTTTGGATAAGGATAAGTAGCTATATCAAGTAACGGTATAAAATGACCATAATGCCCCTATGGTAACCTACCTTCGGTTCATGACCCAAATAACCTCCAAAGGTTATGAAACTTTATAAGAGGCATTATTTTATGATGTCTAGGGATTATGTAAAGTTTTAGAACCAAATGAAGGCACAAGACCAAATGAAGAAAATGACTAATTTTGCGGATCCCAGGCTTCAGGGTTGTTCTCAAGCAAATAAGCTTCAAGCTTACTTCACAGGAACATTAGTCATCTCCATCAGACCTTATCCAAATTAATTTGAAATTGGAATAGTCAAAAAAAGGTCAAGTTTTCATGTGATCGTAGCCCATAACAACTTGAATACTTCAGACAGGGTGCAAAGAAGATATGGAACAAGGAGGTTCTCGGTTGTATTTTCACAAAAATGAAACTAACTGCTAACTGAAATTGTTCTCCTTGATCAGATGGAGGAAACTTGCTCTATTACATCAGTTATAAACACACAAAAAGCTCATGGAAACAGAAATTATTTCGTTGGCAGCAAAGGAAGAGCAATCTTAGAGACAAAATGTAAAAAACGATGACTAGAGGAGGGTGTCATAAACTCCAAATTTTTCCATCGTATCGTGGCTACAAAGAGATGAAAGAGTACCATCATGGATATTCTATCGACACAAGTCAAAGTTTAGTAAACGAAGATGAAATTATCTCAAAATTTGTGTCTTTTTACATGTCCTTAGGCGATGCCCTCATCAAATTTCTCCATGATCTTGTGTGGAGTCCTATTGATCAACAGCAAGCTGCCTCCCTCAAGGTTACTTTCACCGAAGAAGAGGTGGGGAAGGCGATACGGCACCTGGTCTCCAACAAAACTCCAAGAACGGATGAATTTACCTCATTTTTAAAAAAAATGTTGAAACTTTTTGAGAGCCGATATTATGCGAGTGTTTTAGATGGTTTGAGAAGGGGGTTATCATTGGCAACCTAAACGAAACATACATTTATTCTCAGAGAAACTGGATGCCCGTCCTATCACAGATTTTCACCCTTAAGTCTTATGAACTGACTATATAAAATCATAGCAAAAGTGTTATCAAAACGTCTTAAAAAGGTTCTCCATTTCACAAATACTGGACAACAAACAGCTTTTATAGAGGTTATTGGTATCAATGTTAGCATGGGGATTATTGAAGAATTTGCTAGCATATACGGTTGTAAAAGGATGAATGATTGAATATGTATCTAGGATTCCCCTTAAAAGGAAACCATAAATCTTTTTCCTTCTGGAAGACTATTATTGAAAAAGTAGAGTTGTCAACATGGTCCATGTTATACTTCAAAAGGCGAAAGGCTCACCCGAATACAAACCACACTAATCAACCTCCCCACTTACTATATGTCTCTCTTCGAAATGCCACAAAAAGTGGCTAAGGATATAGAAAAACTATTCAGGAACTATCTGAGGAAAGATGACCCAGATCTTGTTCGATGGAATATCACAAACCTCCCAGCAGAAACTGGAGGACTCGGTCTATTTTCAATAAAGAAGAACAAAGCTCTCCTTGCAAAATGGATATGGAGATATCATCATGAAGAAAATGTCGTGTGGAGAAAACTTATAAAGGCTAAATATACTCCTACATCATGCAAAAATCGACCCCCTCCATCTTCTGCCAAAAAAGTCATGGAAGTACATAGAGAAACATCAAAACCTCATCACCAACCAAATTCGCAATAGGGTGAGTGATGGAGAAAGCAAATCATTTTGAACCAACCCATGAATTGAAAACACCACGCTAACCCAACGGAATCAACTTTTGTATAGACTCTCTCATAGCAAAAGAGTTACGATCAAAGAAACGTGGAATGTTGTCAACAAATTCTGGGACCTAAAGCTTGGTAGGAACCTAAATGATAACAAAGCACGAAATGGGCCGAATTAAGCCTAACAAATGAAGCAGACTCATTAACTTGGCTTCTTAGGGCTGACAGGGTATTCTCTACAAAATCTTTGATGATGGACATGGGAAAAAAGTACAAGCAATAAATCTCACACTAACGAAGATAGTATGAAAAGAAAATCACCCTAAAATGTTGAAGTTCTTCCTTTGAGAAATAGCACATAGAGCCATTAACACAAGTGAAAAATCTTCAAAAAAGAATACCCTACCTGACTTTATTTTAAATTGGTGTCCATTATGCAAGAAAAAAAAATGAATCACAAAGTCACTTATTTATGCAATGCACATATACTCAGATTTCTGGACAACGATTCTCAATATCTTCGGATGGCATCTCACATTTCCTAGAGAGGCAAAAGATCTATTGGACATGGCTTTAACGTCCTATCTCTTCTAGAATACAAAAACCCACTATGGAAAACCTCATCATGCCTTTTTTTTGGAATCTGTGAAAAGAAGGAAATCAAAGAGTATTCGCAGAAAAAACACATACTTATACAAAGCTCTTCAACAATATTGTTTACCAAGCTATATCTTGGTGTAAACTGTCTAATATTTTTACTTCCTATAGTCATACCTCCATCCTTATAAATAAAGGTCTTTTTTAAACATGATGGATATTACATCCTTTTCTAGATTACAATTATTAATAAAATGGACTCTTATTAAAAGAATTAACAAAAATACTTTTTCCCCCAAATATTTGCCTCCTTTGCGACTAAAGTTCTGAATCCAGTATCCACCTCCCTTCTGCTTACAAGGGATGGTGTTTCGTCCTGAATCTTTCAATTCGGCTTGGTGTTCCCCTAGAAATATAGCCTTTGTGAGCTTCTCTCCGACTGGTGGTTTAAAGAGAAAGCTAAGATTTCGTGGTTGAATGCTTGCAGAGCTATTCTTTGGCCTTTTGTGGAAAGAAAGAAACAGCAGATTATTTTCGGATAAATCTTCCTCAAACAATTTTTCTTTTGAAAGTGTACAGTTCATTGCCTCTAATGAAGTGTTTTACACAAATCTTTTTGTAATACACGGTGAATGCTCGACAATCAAGATAGGAAGCCTTTTATTTTTTTTGATCCTCCGTTTTAGCCTTAGGGATTCCTCATCCCTAAGGTCTTTAGGCTGTGTTCTTCCTCTCTTGTTGAATATTTGATTCAATTGAAAGCTTAGGATAAAAATTGACTCACATTGTCAAATTATGGCTTAAAAATTGATGTTTACTCAATAATTAAATAAAAAAAGCATATTAAAAAAATCTAGGTACCAAGAGGGGACAAGCAGGAAAATCCACTTTCCTTTTGTTTTCATCCTTCTATCAAATACCTTCGATTGTTTACATGAAAATTATCCCCGAATTCAGTATACTAATCAGAAGTTCTTGGATTGCATATAACATGTAGTGGCATTGTTTCTTTAAATTAAAGGCTAAATTAGTGTCATGAACAGAAATTTATCCTCCAACAATCTCCAGAAACTAAAACTACGGCCAAACAACAAAAGATCAAAGGATGTATCCATCACCATCTAGCATTCGTTGCTAAACACTACACTGAAAAGGGAACTGATTTAGCCTAAATAATAAACGAGATAATTCTCATAGAAATATAACCCAAAGGATTTCGAATTGTTCAATAGAAGAGACTAGCCCTCTATTAATAAAGAATTTAACAACAAAATTTGAAAAACTAGAGGAATTCAACAAAACTATTAAACTAACTCACTGCAACAAAAACAAAAATAAAAATAAAAATGAAAAACAGGCAGCGTGACAAATTAACCAGACATTTATGCTTCCAATATTTTCAAGCAGGGCCGCGTCATCAATGCAAACAGGATAGACCACAACAAAGCTAAAAGCCTTTGTTATTGCATCAACGTAAAATAAGCAGTGAGATCATTAAACCAAACAGAGGGCAGGCGAGATGCCTAGAGAATCACCTGGTAACAAGTAACGTGGAATTCAAGTGTAGCGGCGGCAACATTGTGGCCTTTGTCGTGAAGAGTGGAGATACGAGCTCGGGAGTTGGTTGCGGAGTCAATGCTAACAGCATTCAATCTCCAATTCCAAGAGCTATGGCGAGTGATAAGAAAACCAGCCGCTTGCCTCGAACGCGAACCAATTAAATCCCCATCACCGCCTCGAATTCCGCCAGAGCTCGAAGGGGCTGTCACTCCGCCAAATCCCTTGCAAATCTTGGTCTCTTGATGAAACCCATTGCTCGATTTGTTGGAATGAAACAAGCAAAGAAAGCAAAAGGAAGAAGGAATTGCGGGAAAAGCACAGGATAAAGCCATAATTCAATCTGCATCTGTCACACAGCCAAAACAATGCTTACGGACGAATCAAAGCTCATAATCTCGCAGTTGAATATGTCTATGGTGAAGGAAATTGTAAGAAACATATGCCTTTTGCATCAATTGGGAATAGATTAGAGCCCCAACACTGCATTGTGTTCATTATAGCCGATCTGCTCTGTTCTTCACCGTGGAAATTTCCCTTTCGCTTTTCTGCAAGCCTTTCTCTTTTCAGTTGATTTGTTCTTTTTCTTTTGGTATCTACTCGTTTCTTTTTCTTTTTTATCGCTCACGTTTATTATTATTATTATTATTATCATTATTCTTGTTTAACTGTCACAAGCTATCCGATTTTAAGATTGGTAAAATTATTTTTATTATATTAAAATTTACTCCAAAAGAACATATTTTAAATTACTCAAAATCAAGTTTGTATTATAAAAATTACATATAAAAACATTTTCATTGATTAAGAATATGTTTAGAAATAATTTTAACATTCACAATAATCATTTTAAATATTTTAAATTTCTGGTACAAGTACTAAAAATATCCAAATAAATTAGTTACAAGTAATTAAAAACCAAATTCCTTCCGACAATTTAACCTATAGATTCTTTATTTTATTTAAATTCCTTCGACCTTGATTAATAAAGTGTAAGGTCACCTAAGCTAATCTAAAAAATAACACAAATTTTTAAAATAATTTAATGAATTAGATGAGTTAAATATGTTTAAAAAATGACACAAACAATAATGACCACTTAGGTTAAAATATATATATTTTTTTTTTTATGAAATTCTTTTTGTTAAGAATGAGAAATAGAAATAGAATTGAGATCAAAAGTATGATCTTCATTCAGGTTTACCACGTTTAAATAGGATACAAACTATCAACTAATACCTAAAAATAGAAAAATATATATCTAATTAAATCTGGTAAATAAATAAAATATACGGTTAATCAAATCTATTCTAACAGCTTCCTAAATATCTAAGATATATTCTAACTAATTACCACGGCAAAATATCCTCTTAATACTCCCCCTCAAGTTGGAGAGTGTATGTCGATCACACCCAACTTGTCCTTCAAAAAGTCAAATTGCTGTCTTCCCAAAGCTTTAGTAAAAACATCTGCCAATTGCATTTTGGTCGAAACATAACACGGTTTGATGATTCCAGCTTGTAATTTTTCTCGAACTATATGACAATCTATTTCAATGTGTTTCGTACGTTCATGAAAAACTGGATTGGCTGCTATATGTAATGCTGCTTGATTATCACAATATAATAATGCTGGTTCGGACAGTGGAACATTCAAGTCTTGAAGAATGTATCTTAACCAAGTTAACTCTAAACAAGTATTTGCCATAGCTCGATACTCGGCTTCTGCTGATGATCTGGACACATTAGTCTGCTTTTTAGACTTCCAAGAAATAATTGAATTTCCGAGGAAAATGCAGAACCCAAAAATAGATCGTCTGGAAGTTCGACAACCACCCCAGTCAGAATCGCAATATGCCTGTAATCTTAAATTGTTTTCAGATGGCACTAGAAGTCCTTGACCAGGAGTGCCTTTAATGTACCTCATAACTCGAAGAGCTGCCTCCCAATGTGGTTTTCTTGGTTCATGCATAAATTGGCTAAGCATACGAACTGAATAAGCTATGTCAGGCCTAGTGACGGTCAAATATATTAATCTGCCAATCAACCGTCTGTATTTACTTGGATCATTCAACTTCTCTCCTTCGGTTAAAGAAAGTTTCAGATTTTGCTCCATAGGAAATTTGTCTGGACGTGCTCCTGTAAGACCTGTGTCTTGAAGGATGTCTAGAGCATACTTCCTTTGAGACATAAAAATTCCTTTTCTAGATCGAGAAAATTCAATGCCTAGAAAATATTTCAAATTTCCTAAATCTTTGATAAGAAATTTCTGGAGTAAACTAGTCTTGAGATATTGAATTTCTTCGAGATCATTGCCTGTCAACAGAATATCATCAACATAGATTAGAACTGCAGTGAAAGAAGTACCTTTACTCTTAGTAAACAAAGAGTAATCTGCTTTGGACTGAGTGTAGCCTGCATTTTGTATAGTTGTAGAAAATATGGAGAACCAATTGCGAGAAGCCTGTTTTAATCCATAAAGAGATTTATGGAGCCGACATACTGTATTCTCCCCCTGTCGGCGAAGACCTGGTGGTAAAGACATATAAACTTCCTCGTCTAGATTACCATGGAGAAAGGCATTTTGAACATCCAACTGATGGGTGAACCATTTTCGAGCAGCAGCAACAGTGAGTAAGCAACGAAGTGTAGTAAGTTTCGCTGTAGGGGAAAATGTTTCTGTGTAATCAATACCTTCAACCTGAGTGTACCCCTTTGCTACTAGTCGAGCTTTATAACGTTCAACAGAACCATCAGAGTTGTATTTAATTTTGTACACCCAACGACAACCAATAGCTTTATGACCAAGTGGTAGAGGAACGAGAGACCATGTATGATTACGTTCCAAAGCTGCAATTTCATCATTCATAGCCTGCTGCCATAACGGGTCGCCAACTGCCTCGTCATAGGTTTTAGGTTCTGTCTGGGATGTAATAAGAGCTAGAAAAGCACGTTGAGTAGGAGAAAAACGAGAGAATGAAAGGTAATGATGAAGGGGATACCTGGTGCCAGTGCCGGGACTTGAGCTAGAGGTTAAATGATTGGCTCCAGAAGACATCTCATAATCCTTATGCCAAGCTGGAGGCTGTTTAGTACGAGTAGAACGTCGAAGTGGAGCTGATGTATCAGGTGGGATAGGATTGGAATTAGTGGGCGAATCTGGAGAAGGTGGAGGAGACGACGGAGTAGTAGGTGAAGGGATAGGAGGTGAAGGAGGAGTAGGAGGTGAAGGAATAGGAGGTGAAGGAGGAGTAGGAGGTGAAGGAATAGGAGGTGAAGGTGGAGGATGGATGTTTGAGTAGGATGGATCATGAAGTGGTACAACAGGAGTCGAAGGAGCTAATGTCGAAGTTTGTGAAGCTGATGAAAAAGGAAAATCATCTTCACAAAATTTGACATCACGGCTGATAAAGAATGTGTGAGATTGCATGTCATACAACTTGTAACCTTTATGACCACAAGGATATCCTACGAAAACACAAGGAGTTGCCCTAGGTTCAAATTTTTGCTTAGGATGTACTATAGTTGCATAACATTTACAACCAAAAACTTTAAGATGATGAAATGTAGGTGGTCGTTTGTAGAGTGCTTCAAAGGGTGTCTTGTTAGATAATAATGGTGATGGCGTTCTATTTATAAGATAAACAGCCGTTAAAATGCACTCTCCCCAAAAATTAAGTGGAACCTGTGACTGAAAAAGAAGAGACCTAGCTACATTTAGGATATGACGATGCTTGCGTTCTACGACTCCATTTTGTTGTGGAGTATAGACACAAGTGCGCTGAAATTCAATACCACAAGAAGTAAAGAATGGTTGCAAAGATAGGAACTCAGTCCCATTGTCTGATCGAACTATCTTGATAGTAGTATGAAATTGAGTTTGAACGAATTTAACAAAGTTCAT